TTCACGCTGATGATGGTGTTCGTGCTGATGATGGTGTTCATGCTGAGAGCTTGGAACGTTGTGGATTGGGGAGTTCGAGGTTGCCGTCGTGTGGTTGCTTTCTGCCGTTTCGTTTCTTTTTTGTCTGCGTCCGATTCCGAGTGAAAAGAATGAGCGAATCGGCAGGCGATTCGGAGTAATTTTGGATGCCGCAAACTCGGCCATCGCGATCGGTTGGGCTGCGCCAGCCCTCGAAATTCCCTCGGATTTCCCTCGAATTTTCCGTTAAATTAGAGGGCTGATGGATCGGCGTCGTCGCGTTCTGGACCGGATACTTGCATGGAAAGTTGCAAAATCCGGCGAGGGAATTTCATCCGGGAGTTCGTTAGGAACCGGACGAAGTCGGTTAGGCCGCCCGAAGCGCAAGAACATGCCGCACGAATGTGGAGTCTGAGGTGATTAGCTCAGAGATTAGCTCAGATAAGAATCAGTGTCTGCGCCCGCTTCCGTCTGTGATTGATTCTTCTCCTTCCGGCGCAATTCTCTCCGGCGCATCAATCCTAACTAAATCAGATACGAGAGCTGGAACACAATTCGAGGGCCCCCGCGAACATAGTTAGAGGACAACTCGAACACAATTCGAGGATCATTCGGACGCAATTAGAGGACGACTCGAACTCGATTCGAGGGCCCCTCGAGCTCAATTCGAGGACCCCTCTAGCTCAATTCGAGGGACCCTCGAACACGATTCGAGGACCCCTCGAGTTCAATTCGAGGACCTGCCCGCGAAGCTGCACCTCATGATTAGCACCCAGGGTGCCAGGACGGATCCGGGCCAGGTGGTGTGACGAGCCCACAAAATGATTCATGTTTGTTTTCCCCCGGCCCTCGTCAGACATTTGTCGCGGAATAGGCCGGTAAACGAGCCGATGCCACCGTCGATGCCATCGTCGATGCCATCGACGATGCCGCGACACAAAATAAAGGGGCGTTTATTGGCAAGGACGCGATAAATCGTGGGCGGTTCGTCATGAAATATTCAAGGAGTTGGAGTCCCCCCATTAGGCTCTTCCGAGATATTTCCAGCGGGGGAGACCCACCAGACCCACCAGACCCAGCAGTCCCACATGACCCACCCGACCCACCTGACCCACTTGACCCACCGGACCCACCAGACCCACCAGAAAGCGTGCCTAATCGCACTTAACGGAGACGACCGAAAAGACAGAAAAAAGAAAAAAGCGCAGAATCACGGCCGGAGCGATGAAAGTCCTTCGGATCCCCCAAGGACAAACCATTCATCGCCCTCTCGCCTTTCTTTCTCTCTGCAAAACGACGATAGAAATAGAATCCGGACGGCCGGAACCCCCCGAGGAAACCCCCCGAACTTCGCGCTCACTTACCCCCTTCGATCCGAGCGATTCCGAAAAATCCCGGATTTCTCGGAAAAGCGAAAGGGTGGGAAGAAACGGGCCCAAAGAGAGAAAGAAAGAGAATCTCAAGAATAAAAAGACTCTTCGGCACGTTCGGTTTCTCCGTAACCTACCGACCTGGTTAGTACGGAATGCGCATCAGTCGATGCCGGTGGGGACTCTTTTTCCAGAAAATTACAATATTTCAGGGGATTCCCGGAATCGAGCGGTTATTCCCTTCTCCTCACGTGCTCGGTCGAGTTCACCCGCATATTTATACCGATCCATAACCGTTCGGTTACCGTTCGCAATACCACCTCATCCAACCGACCGAGTTAAAAAAAAAAAAAGAAATCCCGAAGGAACAAGATTTCCGGGAACCGCAGGCCCATGAACTCAGATAAGAAATAAATAAAACCCGAATTGGAGGGAAAAAAATTTGAGGGAAACACGGAAGGACAGGGGAGAGATAACGATAATTAGAGGGCACGCAGTATGGACAATGCAAGAGGTGCCACCATATTTCATGGCTCGTATAAAATGGCATATAAACAGGAGGGGGAAGATTATTTTCTCCTTCCCTCTTAATTAGGAGATAATAAGCGAGTCTCATTAAAAAGAGTCCCCCAACATCCTGTTGCTCGGGACCGGCTCGGAAATTTTTCATTCTCTAAGGGTCTCCGTGGATGGAAAGAAAAAAAAAGATATGGGGGAATCATATAAATTATGATATCAAAAGGCACCAACTGGGGGGGTATTGCGGGATTTGTGGGGGGTATTGTGAAGTTTATGAGGGTATTGTGGGACTTGTGGGGGTATTGTGGTTTCTGGCCGGATTTTAGCGCCGACGGTGGCGTCGTTGCGACACGGAAACGCCGGGTTTCGTCATTGTCGGCTTTGTTCCGTGTGGCGTATTGTCTTCCTTGCCTTTTCTAGGTTGAGTGTCGTTCCCGTAATTGAGATCAGAAGGAAAACGAACGGAAAGGTCAAAGCGACCCGCGGCGTTATTAACATTTGTTGTCTCGACCGGACCGGTAACTCCGTCGAAACTCTGTTGGAACTCGGTCGGAACTCTGTTGGAACTCTCGGCGATGCGTGGAAAATGGCCGGACGCAGCGAGGAAACCGGCAGATTGGGGTCGATGTGGATCCAGGGGTCCTTGGGCGACTCATTGTAAGCAAATGAGGCGACACCTTTTTTTTTTCCTTTTTTTTTTTGCCTTTCTCTCTCGGTGCCGTTTTCTCATTCAGTTGTCGTCTCTCTTTTCATGGGAAAGGGACCACCGCGGTCGCGCCTCGCTTCTTCATTTCCTCCTTCGATTGTTTGATGTTTCAATCCGCTTAATTAAGCCTGCATAAGTCTCCCTTCCCTTTTTGTCTCTTCTCTGGTCTCGCCTCGAAAAAAAAAAATCTGGTGGCCTTTGTGCTCGCCCTTGCGAATCGCGAAGCCCGAGACGATAAAGGACTGCGGATAAAGGACCGAGCGAGCTTATATTTATTCAATCCGCCCGAAGCCTTTCGGCGATTTTTTTCGAGCCGATTGCATCAGTCCAATCCGCATCTCGTTAAGCAATCGGCTGCTCCGAAAGGAACTTCGGGAAAGCCGAAAAGGACTCTCGCCAGGTTTTATGGGCGCTTGTCGACACAAACGTGCACTCCGGCCGTCTCGCAATCATCGACGAGGCTCGCGATCAATTACGAAATGCATGCACTCGCTTAGAAAAAAAAAAAGGATTCTGTGATCTTTGATCGTCTCGGTTGCTTCTTTTCACCTTTTCCATTTCTTTCCCCATTATACACAATTTTTCAAAACTCGCGTCCCTCTTCCGAGCTAATATGACAAATCCACTTGACCCCCCGCCGAAGCCGCTCTTTTCTTCCTTCTCGGGGGTTCGCCGTTGTTGACAGAGGGTGAAGGGGATTTCGCGAGGAAGGGGACACGAGTTTTTTTAAAAATAGTTTGTCCTCTCTATTTCCCTTTCGATTATGGGATCCACGGTGGGATCATCTCATCGGCTAAGGGATCGGGATAACCCCTCGGTCAATTGCACAAGAACGCTCGCTGGCACCGATCGCCCAAGAACAGGCGTGGGACGATGCACGCTTCTTAATGGAAAGGAATGCTTCCCTCGCGCTTCCCTCGCGCTTCCCTCGCGCTTCCCTTTCGCTTCCTTCCAGCGGCGATGGAAGCGAGACGGAGGCATTCGGGATTCTCGCGTCGCTTCCGAATTTTTCCGGATCTCGAAGAGGACTTGCCGAAGAAAGTCCATTATCTCGGCGAGTCGCTACTGGCGCTAACAAGTCCAATTATAACTTTCATCACGATGACATGAGGCATTTTAACTAGTTCTAATCAATCATGAGTCGCTTTCATGCACTGAATACGATGAGAAATTTCGAAATGAGAGCTCGTGTGCGTTTATGTTAAGGAAGAATTCGCCGTAGCGAGCGTGGGCTGGGACATGAAAAGTCATAAAGATATAAATATTTGGACAGACCACCCGCTGGAACCAGTTTGATGACATTTCTGATGCATTCGTGACATGAGGGGCCCATTCCCATCGAACGTTTTATAGTCCCACCGTCTCGTGAAGGGAGAAAAAAGAAGACAGAGGTCGCCTTATAAGCCACTGGCCGTTCCGGTTTCGTAATCTGATGAAGTTGCCTATTAGAAGGCCATCCCGTGTGTGGCGGCCGTAGGCTTAGCAGGGGGACGACAAGCGAAACAAGACCGGATCATAAAGGGAAGTGTGATGATGTGTGTTCGTAGGACCGAGGGTCCGGCGGGTGAAGAAGCGTCGGACGGCGGAAAAGCGCCCGCGAACGGCGTTCACGGCCGAGCAGCTGTCGCGCCTGCGGAAGGAGTTCGCCGAGAACCGCTACCTGACCGAGAAGCGCCGCCAGGACCTGGCGCGGGAGCTCCGACTCAACGAGGCGCAGATCAAGATCTGGTTCCAGAACAAGCGGGCCAAGCTGAAGAAGCTGGACGGGCGGGGGAACGGACTCGCCCTCCAACTCATGGCTCAGGGTCTCTACAACCACGCCACCGTTCCCTCGCAAGACGAGGACGACTCCGATTCCTGATCTCTCGTCTCAGTGCCTCCTCCGTCTCCCTCTAGAACTGGAATCCGTAGGGGAAATTGGGGAGAAAAATTAACCCGTGCTGTGATGCCTCCGATGAGTTCGCGGTCCGTGAGCTTCGCAGTTCCTTGAAGAGAGGTATGTATTCTTCATTTCGCCAATGAGTGTTGTGATCCTTCCGCGGTTTCGTTTGAGATTTTCTTCCTTCGTGCAATTTATTTCGTTGTAAAGTGAGAATGAAGAGACTTATGTGCTTGAACGGTCGTGCCATTCTCATTTCGGCTTTCGAGCTCCGACCGGAAAACGAGCGATGCGAAAACATTATCGGGGGAAAATGTAATCAAGGAATCCCCCATGCGAAACTGAGGAAAGAGGATCCTGTTTAATCCGAGAAGCTTCCAGGCTGGCTCGAATCGACGGAATAAATGCGAAAATGCAGCGAGAATATGAATAAACGTTCGGCGGGTTCGCCGAGCCAAAAATTGTCCTGCGAAGTGAATTTCGACTCGGCTCGGAAGGCCTATACCGGCGATAAACCAAACTCGACGCACGACGAGCTTCACAGTCTGATGAGCTAAAAGAGGGATAATTTCCTCGGGTATACCATGCGTGAAAACCGCAGCGAACGAAAGCTGGAACTGGAGATGTCGCTGCCCTCAGTCCGTCGAGATCGGGATCGGGGCTGTGCGTGTTTCGACTCGCTAGGGGAAAGAGAGACGAAGAGCTTTGCGAGAACAAAATTACCTTAAAACGCCTTTTTTTTCTCGGATCAGTAATGTAACGAAACACTAGTACTTGTTTTATGAGCATTATGTACTTGGAAAGCGTTTGGATTAGGATTGAAAAGGATTGAGAAGATCCAAGAATTTGGCCTGCAGGAGTAAAACTTCACCATCATGAATTTCGAAGCGAATGTTTTTGAAGGGCTGAAGAGGGAATCGACTGGAACGGGGAAGAAACGTTCGAGGAAGTCGGTGGAATTGCTCAGAGTCTCTTTCCCCGTTTTTTTCCCTCAATTTTGCGAAGGAATATTCACTATTTTCCTTCTGCCCTTCATTGTTGATAGCGTCTTTTAACAAACGTTACCGATGGACGAGCTTCCTCGCTTTCGAAGACGGTTTCTTCGCAAGTGCTGCTCGCGGGGTTCCTCGATCGCGAATCGACGGAACCGAACCTCCGCCGCCGTCTGTTCGAGCTTCCTCCGTCGTCCGCTTGGGCTTCTTCTGTCGTCTGCTCGAGCCTCCTCCGTCGTCTGCTCGAGCTTCCTCCGTCGTCTGCTCGAGCTTCCTCCGTCGTCTGCTTAGGTTTTCCCAGGCGCTCTGCAGGTTTGCAGGGCCGGTGGTTGAAGTGCATTGCAATGGATGCGAAATTTCGCCATCTCTTCGAGCCCGAAACGAAGGTCTTCTTGTCTAAAGTCTTTTGCTGGATTCGGAGAGGTTGGCATCGTGAAACGGGTGCATTCCGAACCCGATGGGCGAATGAGTTTTTTCAACTCCCATCCCAAGATATATAGTTATTACTCGTGCGATGAACAAAAAGGTCGGAACGCCGATAAAGAGAAGCTCGGCGTTTCATCCGACCGAAGTCGTGAGCCGACAGAGATAACGCGATCACGGGCCTTCACAAAGAAGCTATCCTCTAGATCGAAGCTTCGCACTGCGACGGCTTTATCGGATCCCTTCATCTCCAGAGCGACCGACTGTGCGGATCCTCTGTCGGCTCCACACCACATGCGGAATCTGGCAACACTGCGGCTTCTCGCCAGAGTTGCCTTCACGCCTGCGAGGGCGAACAAACCGATCCGTGTCCCTCGAGATGCAATCCGTGTCCCCTCGAGATGCAATCCGTGTCCCCCCGGGATGCAATCCCGTGTCCCCCGGGACTCATTTCCCCCGATTGTAAAGAATAGAAAAAGTTCCCACATGGAATGTATGAATCTATCTTATCTCCCATCTGCCTTCATATCATGCATTCATCCCACCTTGCATTCTTTATTCATCCCACCCTGCATTCTTTATTCCTCCCCGAAGAAAGAAAAAAAAAGAAGATTGCGTGCCGTTCTCATGGGCGGAGTGGGGGATATATAATCCCATACGATCCACCTGTCACCATGTGCAAAGGGGGGATTGATTGACAAAGCGTTGCATTATGCAAATGCTATGGCCCTGCCAGCTCCTCCTCCGTTCCTCTCGAATGATGACCTGATGAATTAATGAGCAGGTGTCAAAATCCCCATCGTCCTCCTCCTTCACCCTCGGGTGAGTAATGAAGACTCGAAGGCCTCGAAGGCCTCGAAGGCCGTTGCATTCCGCCCATGCGCGACACCGCGAATCCCCCCAGGGCGCATACGATTTGCTTTAATGTATTCCGGCCCCCCTCCAAAGTTTTCTTGAGAAACTTCCTGGCTTTAATTTCTTTTTTTTCTTATTTTTTTTTCTTTTATTTTCTTTTAAGAGTCTTATCTCTTTTTTTATTTATTTGCATTCGATGTCGGGTTTTATGTCCCGGAGAGATCGCGGTGGAATCTTTCCAGTCCCGTTCTTTTCCCTGCATCTTTCTTCCTTTCTCTTTTCGCAACTTTTAAACTCGGGTGGGCCCAGGTGGGCCCAGGTGGGTCCAGGTGGGCTCGCGTGGACTCGGGTGAATCGGTCGTGTCGTGTGGGAATCGGGCATGTCGTGTGGAGAGAGCCGGCAATTTGGAAGTTATACATCGGCCCGTAATGACAGGGAAGGCCTTGGAAGGCCCTGGAAGGCCTGGGAAGGCCTGGGAAGTCCTGGGGATTCGAGTCTAATTTCTTGATTAAGTCCGCAGTGGCGATCCGGTAACGACCGGATCCGGTCGTTACGAGGCACTTAGGACTCAGAGAAAAGCCTCCGGATTTCTATTTGTGGATTTTTACGAGCCTTTGTGGCTCTGGGTCGTGTCGACGGACGTTCAACATGTCGAGGTCGTTAGGAGCCGAGGCGTGTTTGCGCGTTGAGCAACACGAAACAGGCGAATCTAATAAATATCCCGGGCCCCCTCGTGCATTGTTTAGGGGGGGAAGGGGGGGGGGGGAAAGGGGGAGGAGGGAGGGATTTGTGATGGGGAAGGAAAAACGCTCGGAAAACACAGGTGTAATTACTGCCTTTGGTTGCATGAGACGCTATCTCTGGCTTGAGCTATCCTCATCATCATTATTAATCAGGATGTGTGTGGGAAAAAAATGCAGGAAATTATGGTATAGGGGGAAAAAAGGGATGATAGAAGAGAGAAGACTCTTATCACTTGGTACTTTATAAATAATAATAATAATAGTTTTATTGTTTTTCATATATTTTGTTTGATGAAAGTCTACAATGCGGATCGGATCCATTCCGTGCCTATTCCTTTTTTTAAAATAATATATATCGGAATTGACGTCATCTGTTTGATCCAATTCTGTGCGATCCTACTGAAGAACGGCAAAAGAATACCTGGAATCCACGGGAAAACTTCATCCCATCTCCTTCATCCCATCTCCTTCATCCCATTCTTGAGGATGAGTAATGAAGGTGTGATAGGGACGTGTTAATTTTTTTCTATTCGCTGTGTCTGTGATGGAAACTGATGCTGATTGCGATATGCCCGATGCGACACATCGGTAACAACACTGTAACAACCCAGATTGTGGTTTCGTGATGAGACCAGAGCAGTGGGGATTTTTCGGTGCAGCGCCGGATCCATGCTGGAATTTCCCCGCGGCTGCGATTCCCACTATGCAGCGAGTGCAACTCTCCCTTCGCGAGGAAAAACTTGAAATTTCTTTCTCTTCTTCACTCCACACACGATTCTATTTAACTCCAATCGAGTTTGGTGTTGCAATTGGAGTGCGCCGACTCGAGTGGGTGTCCCCGTGATTAATTTGTGACAGCGGCTTCGAGGCCACCGAAGGTGATTGTCCCCCAAGGTCAAAGGTCACTCGAGGTTAAGTTCGTGAGAATGCGCCTGTTTCGCGTGATGCCGCCTACGGACCGAATGTGTAAACGGGAACGTTCAAGAAATTCTGGATCGTTGGAGGAATGTTAACTGATGGGCATGTTTCAGAGTTCTCTTGTGTTAGAAGGGTCGTCACCTTGTGGTCGCCACTCTTTGGCAAAGAGATTGGCACCTTTTACTTTTAACAAGATGAAGACACTTGGACATTTGGAAATATTGACAAATATTCAGAGTCATCTTGTATATGTAGTTCTGCTGCTAATACCTTTAGCCAAGGCGCGCCAATGTGTGTGGCCTGCTGTTGTAGACTCGCCGAAAACTGTCTTCTTCGATGCTGTGAAGCTTCATCGTCAACTCGGAAAGTCTCAATTTTAAAGCATGGACAAAGCTGTTTCCGTATTAAGATAAGTTTGCATTATGAATAATGCAGTTGAAAATCATTTTTTCCCCAGTAAATATGAACACGTGAGAATCCTAATTTTTGCCGACATTCCGTTGCCTACAGCCATTTACCGGACGGTTGTTCTTCTTCATTCGCACAGTTCTTCAGGATGTGCATCGTACGTCACGGATCGTTCTCCCATCTGTCCGCGCCCAGCGGATGGATAGGAAACCACGTGGTGTGTGGATCTCGAGATAGATGGCGAATGAATCCCGGTACGTTCCAGCCTCACCGGACCCTTTCCTCGAGGTTCTCCATGCTGGGTCTCTCGCGCGATCGTGTGCTCTCACCTAGTCGTGACATGCGGCAATGGATGCTAGGAAATGGAGCTATCGTGCCTACGTATGAGCACGGAACAATCAGGAGTTCCCTGTTTTGCGTGTCGTTGGAAAATGGGGCCGTCATGAATCATGCATGAAGGCGTTGGGCCGTGAGAAGGTGGATGTCTGTGCGATGGGTGTGGCATGTGCTCGTTCCCCGTCAAGGACATCGTCATGGAAGTGTTCAAAGGTCGAGTATACTCGTTTTCCGGTGTCGAAGGCAGTCGTGTTTTTTTTTTCAACTGGATAGCTTATACGAGCAGACGAACTCACTTTCTTCCGTCGCGTGACCCGGTAGTTGTCATTAGACGGGTTTCGAGTGGTGGAATGTACAGACCATGGTTACGTAATACTCGGGATGTTTTGAGGGACGCGAATAAAGATCGGCCGGTACATGTGGAGACAGGAGTCGGGGCTTTCACTATCCGGTTCGACAGATGCTGGATACCATTACTCCAGGATGATGTTGCCGGGTGAATGGGGTTGAAGGGTTTGAGGGTTGAAGTTTGAAGGTCGATGGCACGACCGAGAGCACGTCATCGGATTCCCCAATCGTTATGGCAGGCATCGTGTCAAAGCGACTCATCGTGTTTAGCGCATTTGCCACGGATCGATCGATTTCGTTAAGCGTTGCAAGCTGTGTGTCGGCTGAGATGGAGAAAGACTACTTTTTTTAATTTCCTCATTCCAAAGAAAATTCGACGTCGTACGAAGCAGTATTTTCCCGATAAGTTTTACCGTTCGCCGGTGGAAAGGTGTTCAGTGGTTTCCATGGGGCTTTTTCCGCTTATGTTTCATTTCCATCTGATGGTGCAGACGAGGTCGATCGAGCAGACCGGGGACCTGTCAGTGATGTTTTGATCCTCTTTTTTCTTTTTGCTTCCTTGAGAAAAGTCTGGAAAGTCAGGATGGTCGCAGCTATCTTCTTCGAGATTTGCTCTCTTATTTGTAGGACCCGTCGTGATACTTTCTCGAACCAAGTTCTTTTTCGGACACCCTGTATGGCAACCCTACCTTCATGAATCCAATGTAACTCTGATTCGATATCCGACAGCCCTGGGGAACGCGGCTGGAGAGTAAATTTCACTTTTCATAGGAAAATTTGTGCAGCGTAAACAACGGAAATCGCACTTTTCGTGCTCTATAAGTCCAATCTTTGAGGTTCTTTATCTCGTCCCAAATCCTCCACGAGTGGTAGAAAAAAATGATCGGATTTATATCTTCAAGGCGGGAGATTCAATATTCTCCGCAACCCCGCAACAAAGGAGATGGAGCTTAAATTTGTTGCAGCGATTCCGATTTCCCGATTTCGTCCTTCCAGATGCTCTCCGAGAGGAATACGAAGAGGCCAAATCAAAACTGGAAAGGGGTTCGAGAAACGGAGCAGCTCCATTTATTCTCCGTTATTTACTCGAAGTGATTGGGACGATTCGCATGTAAGACCAATGACCGAATTCAGCGAGTGCGACGTCCGGATGACGTCACATGACGTCAGAAAACGGCAGCCTTGAGAGCCCGAGAGCCCGCCACGTGCTCGCGTGAGGATTCCATCCCGTTGCGATGGGTTGGGGATTTCCATGGGTGGCGAATGGGTGAAGGCGGATGGTTGGAGCTGCAGGATGCGGTAGGCCGAGAGGAGGTCTGCGTTTCATCGCATCTGCACAGGATTTGCTTGGAATTTGTGTATGTTGCGTAGGCCTTTGAGAAATGCTCGAATTCGTGATTAAATTGTAAGGCCTAGTCCTTCGCGTTAGGAAGCATTTTCTCGGTCCAAACTTAAATCGTGACAGGCCTAGCGGCCTCCTCAACCTTCTTGGGATGCTAAATGTTTGATTGGGTGGGGGGTATCGTTTCCTCTGCCTGGACGAACAGCTGACTTTTCCTTTTATTGTCTTGGTCTCAGGTTCAGAGGTTTCGTTTCTAAGCAATCGTCTTGATGGGGATCTCGTGAGACAACCATTTCTCAATGTTCTCCATGCAGTTTTGTTTTCATAAAGTGGGTGTGACACACTCATGTGTCGTACACTGTTTCCGGATTGAATTCCCCCCTATATTGGGGAATGGAGAAAACACAAATTTCCAGTCATTCCGCCTCATCAGGTTATAGACGTAACCACCCATTTGTAAGATGTCATTAAAATTCAAGATTCAAGATAGTGATATCAAGAGGCGATTTCACCCATTTCGATCCGACTAACTTCCTGTCTAAATTGACTCTAGCACTATCCCTGATCATCATGGTCCCCCATGGCATCAGAAATGTTACATTGGCATTGTGGACTCACTGCATGGCATCAGGGCTGGTGTGTGTTAGGGATCAAGGTCTATTTCCTTTTATCTAGCTTCTTGACTGGGATTAGAGAAATTGTGTTCCTGGACTGAAATTTCATGTTTGGATGTGATGTCAAAGAACAATTATAATTAAGGAGACTGGTAGATAATCTATTTGTACATTTCAGTCTTAAATGGTGATGAAAAGTACATGAAAACACCAGCAAAAGTTTTTTATTTTGGCCCAGTCAAGTTCACTGGGCCACCAATCGAGTTACACATCTGGCATGGGCTGAGATTCACATCCGGTCCATTGAGTTGGGTTCCAGTAATGGACCACCTGACTCCTATCCTTGAATTATATAAATTGCTGTTCTTTTGCACCTCCCTCTTATCTACAAGTGCTGGGATATATGCATAATCCAACACTTTAAATGTGCACAGTCGATTTTAGGGGCAGATATAGGGGTGATATCACCCTCATGTAACTGTGTAATACGTAAGACTGGCTCCTGCACTGGTCCCATGGCAGGTTTAGAGACTGTGCACATGTGCACACAGATATTAACTTGTACTGCCATTGGGTCATCCAGGTCATTGAGGATATGCTAGAAGCTAGTTTTTATCAATTTATATTAAGATATGGATCTTGTGGACATCATACTTACCTCGGTCATGGAAGTCACAATTTTCACTATCAGTCAATTCACCAGTGAACCTGCACTCTATCAATGCCATTGCTGACCTTTATGTTGCACTTGCACTTCCTTGCAAGCATTATCATTTCATGCTATTTTTTTAAGCAACTGTGTTATTTCTTTTACAGATGGCATTGATATTCCTGGGTGACACATTAATGATCAGTAGAACCACCTTTACTTCTTCCTTTGCAGCCTGACTGCCATTGAAAGCACAAGCAGCCCTTGCACTATTTCTGCCACAAGAGAGACACAAGTCTGCAAAAAGAATGAGAAGAGGAATTTTTGCCATAGCTGGCCTTCAAGTGTTACCTTTTAGCTTATTTTGTTCCTGCCCCCAAAAGGCCTATTTGGACTGATTTTCTTGCCTCCCTTTGTCATTTTGTACACACAATTGAATTAAATACTCTCCTTGAAGGATCAAGAAACATTCTCTGAATTAAATTGCTCCTAAGTATTGCATATTACAATGTGTAAGAATAGGTAGTTCGCCAGACTTGCAGTTGTTCCCAAATGATCTCAGACAGTTAATGTTTCCTTTAAGCTATTTGAGAAGCTAGAATGTGCTGCCTATTCACTATATTGTGCATTTTTTGCAGAACGCAGGGACAATTCGTCTCTCTGGAGGTCACCGGAGCATCAGAGCCTACTGCATGAAGCCTACCGAGGCTTCGAAATGGGCCATGGCCTTCCGTCTGGATCCACAGCCACACCGGCTCGCACGCCGACGAGGAAGGAGAAGGATGTCATCCCTCTGATCCCTTGTGGTAATTTATGAGATGGTGACTTTATGAGATGGAAGGCATTTTAAACTGCATCTTCTCTTTTGCAAAGCATACTTTTATAGGTAGAGGTTAGATCCCATCCAACAAATGTTTCTGATTTTTGAGAAGTGCATCATCTCAAATCCATTTCATATCTTCGCATTCATGGATACTGTATGTAATTCTAATAGTCCTATGCCCTTTTGCCCTTTTAAAGTGCAGAAACAAATTTACTAAGCATGTGAAATAAGGATGCCTTTGGGATAGGCTAGCAAACTCATTTTTTGGAGAATGTCCATGATCCTAAGTATGAGTATCCTGGGTTGAAAAAACTAGTGATTGTGATAGTTAACCCCTGGCATGACACTGAGAAGTACTTGCTGTCATTCATAATAAGGAACAAGGGAGTTATTATTTGATCATATGTGAGTTATATACCTCTACAATGGTATTGTGTAAGAGGAAATGAATGGAGATGGTGAAGTATCAACATTTATGCAGAGGAGATCCATAAATGTTTAGGTTGGGCCAGGACAACATAGAGGTGTTTTTGTTATGCCATTTTGAACCAATCCCAAGCAGAATTCTCACTCACAAGAATTCACACAAGACACTGACTCATGGAGAGGCTTGGTCTGCATGATTGCTTTATCCCCAAAACTCTGAATGTCAGTCTTCTCACTTCTAACAGATCTGAAATTATCTCTCTTATCCCTAAAATGCCATGCACCATGCTATGGCCTCACCCTCCTGCAATGCAATACTTAAGACAAGAACAGAAGGCTAGACTTGACAGCTGCATTTAAACTTTCTTGACGTGCAGGATTCATTCTGTCTTTCTTCTCATCAACATCATGCTTCAGCCCATATCAAAACACTGCAATTACAGAGTGCAGGAAGAGTGGGTATGATTGTTGCACTGAAAGTTTTTAATTGGCTAAGGTATTTCATTTCCAGCTTGGCATTTTGATTTTATTGTTTAGAATTTTCTCCATTTCTTTGCTCTAGACTGTTGAATTGCATGCAACCATCTTACACTGATGGCACATGGGATTCCTCTCAGAGAATCAACTTCTGTTCAGCTTGGTACTGGGCATGCAACATTTACTAAGATTGAATTAGACTAATGTCTATTCCATCATCTGTCTACATCCCATCTACCAGTTAGTTATTCAGTTGCTTTCCCCACCATATCTCCCTTGAAACTCAAATTCAGCCTGCATCCTCTTGTGTGGAGTATCTAAAGGCTTTGCATAGTCAAAGTAGATTGTGTCCACAGAATTCACTCAATTTTTCTCATCAGTCACCGATTCATAAAATTTTAGCAAAAGGTTGATGAGACGCTTTAGTTGCCTCCTGAAGCTTTGCTGAGATTCCCCAATGAGGAAGTTCCTCTCAGGGAATTTTAAGATGTTAGGTGCTCTCTGTGAGCTTCCCTATTATGTACATCAGAATCAATAGAAATGCATACAAGCCACAACTTAGTGTAATAGGCCCTAAATGAAAAAGTACGTATCCCTTAGCATATGATACAAATGTACTGTAGCACAAAATATATGGAAAGGTCTAACGTAGATTTTCCCATACGTCCATGTGTATTCTTGCACATACCATTATACAGTGTCAGTCACAAAGCCCCCATCTGCCTCTTCATTGGCTGTTACTCATGACTGATTGGATTGCAATGTCGCTAAGTTCATTTGCAAGGCAAGAAAATTTTCTATATGACCCTCATTTCACTTGAAGCATGATCATATCAAGGTTGTGAGCATTAGGTACACAACCTTTTGCTTGACTATTGCTAAGTAATTGTGGTCTCTGCTGTCATGAGCTGTTGACGTTGAGAGTGATGGATAAATCATCCAGCTTGCCATTTCAAACTTTTCTTCAGGGCAAGCAATTCATGGGTCTCTGAAGCAAGGCAGGTCTGTTAAGTTCCCATTTATCATATTCAAATTGACTCAGTCAACTTATGTCTGAAAGTTTCTGAGTCTAATCCTTTTCAACCTTCATATATTCTTGTTGGTATTTCAAATCACATTTTGGAACAGAACGCTTTTCCATCCTTTTCGTGTATTAGGCATATTTTGTGCCCCATGGAGACATGTCTTATGTAAGGAATTGGAATGATGGATGGTCTTTCTGAGTCCATGGTCCTGCTCACTTGAAAGTCCACGTGTCCTGAAGATTATTTAGAGGGTGCTAATAGGATGATTTCAAGTTACATGGCTTATGTGAAGGTTGTTTGGAGGATAGGGTTCTATTAACTCTACATACTAAATGCAGAGCTGATGCACCCAACCCCATTCCACCCTCCAGCCATGCTGGACTAAGTCAATATGAACTGTCCCGATGCATCGGCAACCACTGATATATTAGCTGCCATTATGGCACTGTTGGTGCCTGTGTCAAAGCCAGGTTTCCACTCTGCCAATGCCAAAAGGAAGTATGTGCTGAATGGAGAAAAGTAACCCTTTCAACTCCCATGATTTGAGTGCTCAATGGACATAGGACATCATGTGAAGGGTATGGGCCTGAAGGTGTTTTTAAAAAGGCACATGGACACAGCTTGATAAATGTGTCATAGTATTGATCAGAAAATTAGAGGGTATCATGATGCATCAATTAATGTATTGGTGTCATTATTGATTGATTGAGGCATTGATGGCTCTAAATCCCCTTCATGGTGACCATACCTTCCCCCACCCTGATGATGGATGAGAGATGAGAAAGGAAAAGGAAGTTCTTGTTTCCTTTGAGGAAAAAGGCAGTGCAAGTCCGCCCAATTATGGGAAGTTTACAGACAGGGAGAGAAGGGCTAGAACAAATAATTTCTTGTGTGCAAGTAATGTGTCAGTGAACCAAGAAGCTGTACAGAGTTTGAAAATGGTATGGAGGGAGCAAATGCAGAAGGAAGGACACTGGAGCAGGATGATCTTGGCAGCCACTTTGGAAAAGCTTTCATTTCTCTTCCCCTACTTACCTCCACCAGCTTCTGCCCCACTTCCTGCATGAAACTGAAGAGCAGTGCAGAGCATACCCTCTGTGATGCATGACTCAACACATGCCCTACTCCAAAGCAATCTGCTTCCTTTCCATTCTCTTACTCATCATGTCTTATTTACATATATTTTGGAGAAGCATTGATACACCATTGATGACTCAAGCTAATGCACACATGTTTACAAAACTACTGTAGTAATTTTAAGTCATACAAGAGATACAGTTGCATGCACTAACAGTCAATATGTTTGTGAAATGTACAGCAGGAGCACAAGGAGGATTTCATTCAGAGGCCAGTGGTATTCTCAAAGCAATTGCTTCTGACTTTGTATTCATTCTCCTTGGACAAAGGAGAAGTCATTCTATGACTGGAGATAGGTTGCAGCTGGAAAGTCAGCCAAAGATTTCACGTCGCTAGATTGATATAGGTTGCTAATTTGGCCATTTTTGGAGAGGTTGTTTTGGAAGGGGCTTGATGACTCTCATGTTTTTGGCAAATGGTTCACAATGTTTTACACTCAAGTTATTGTAATAATTTTGTAATGCTTTATAATATTTCATACTAAAATTTTTAATCTATATATTAGTGAGGTATGCTAGTAACTCCTTGATTACTTCACAGTATCTCTGTATTTATGCCTACTTCTCTGGATTGAAAATTTCTTTTGAAAATGGTGACTGTTTTCCAATTGGATCATCTAAAAGCAGTGGATTCAATCTCAAGATCCTTTCTGCCCTCTCTACAGGGTGTCCCAGAAACCCTGCCCCAAGTTTTGTACATTATTATATCTTTTTATTCTGATGGAAAAGAGTTTTGTATCATTCAAAGGCCTAGACCTTTCATAACAACCGCTGTTAAACTTGGCAGTTTGTGATTTGTGGTTGTGGGGATTTTTGAATAAGAAGGTGTATGCTACAAAACCCCAAACATCCCTATGTCTGTGTGAAAGAAATCATGTACAGTGGTACCTCGCATAACGAACGCAATTTGTTCCAGCGGTGCGTTCGTTATGTGAGGTGTTTCTTCATGCGAAACACGATTTCCCATAGACTTCTATGGGAAATCATGTAATCCGTTCCACGTCGCCGCGAAAAATCAAAGAAATTAGGAGAAAATGTTTCACTTTCACTCACGAACACCTTGCGTAACGAACGCACCGCTGGAACGAATTGCGTTCGTTATGCGAGGTACCACTGTATATGGAAGATCAAGGAAGAAGAAGCTGAATGCCAGCATGTTTTATGGAAAGGAGACTAATCTCCTTCAGTCCACAAGGATATTTATCAATGATCACCTTACAAAGCAAAGCTTTGCTCTGCTCCATCTGGTATCTCAGGAGAAACTTCCAAAGGGTTTAGTATAGAAAAATCTCAGAAGACAAGAAGGGTCCTTGGCATTCCTGGTTCACTCCAAAGATGATATTGATGAGGTCCCATGGACATAAAGTCTGTAAATAAGCAGATGCTTAATGGCTATAAATCTTTCATTGCCCTAATCTGAATCTCAAACCCTTTGAGAAGTGGTTATTGAATTAATTGTGTTAGCATTATTTTACTTTACTCTTTCTATTGGAAGGTAATCTGGACCATATCCTCCTCTCAAGATTTCTCTTCATTTCTTGAAAGTCTCTCCGATCCAAAAAATGAAAAGGAAGGCCTCTTCATCTTATATTGGAATATTCTAATTGGGTATATTCTAAGGATACACTTTGATGACCTCCTCATCTTTCTTGCTGGAATTAGGAAATTCCCAGAAGTACTAATTATAACAGAAACTTGGCTGCACAATGATGAAACTGATTTATATGAGATAAATGGGTATAATGCAGTTTTCTGTTGCATAGCAGACACAAAAAAGGGTGGTGGCATTGCAATGTGTATTGAATAAAATATGGAGTTCTCTGTGGTCAAAGCTGTATGTGGTCCTACTTCTCATGAGGTGCTTTGGTTGAAGTTGATTTGCTTTAAAAAATGTCTAATTAAAAGTGGCACCTACAGACCACTTCATGAAGAAGAATTGGTTGAGTTCCTTAGTACAGGGTGGTCAAAAAGTTCGTTGATTTCAGATTTTTACATTTTTCTGAAGCACAAAAAAGTTTTGCAAAAACAAATTGAACAGACATGACAAACAACATTTTTAGACTTCTATATGCTACTTTTCACTCAATGTGGCCCCCTTTAAATCGGACACAGGCAGTCAATCTCCCTGGGAATGCATCCACCGCAGCGCGTAGCATATCCTGTGGGATCTTCTCCCATTCCTTCGTGAGGACACGCTTCAGAGATTCGACGATGTCGTAGGACCTGCAGCACACCTTGGTCTCCAGAATGCCCCAGACGGCGTAGTCCAGAGGGTTGAGGTCTGGGGAGTATGACGGCCACTCGTCAGCAGTGATCAGGCCGGGAAATTGGTCGCTGCACCATTTCTGAACATGACGAGCTTTGTGGGACGGCACAGAATCTTCTTGAAAGATCCATTCTCTGCTATGGAAGTGTCTCAGCCCAGGGCTTTACGACGGCCTGGAGCAAGTCGCGCTTATAGACTTCAGCATTGATTTTCAACCCCCGATCAAAGAAAATCAATCGCGTTCGCCCATCGGCAGTGATCGCGGCCCAAACCATCACACCAGCAGCCTTCTGCTTCCGAGTCACGATTCCATCACTTGGAGATAGAGTTCATGGGTCAGTAGACCAATTCCAATCATTTTGGCTATTTAAAGCGTGCTCGATTGTGAACACCTTCTCATCAGAAAACAGGATAAGTCGGTGTTCGTTGCCTGCGGGCCGGCGTTTCAGATTTTTGCATCTAATATCCCTGTTCTTCTTGGCGGTTTCGTTGAGGAACTGCGCTTTCCTCATCTTGTAAGGATGGGCATTGATATCATTTTTCTAGATGTTCATCGTCGAGGATCTGCTGATTCCGAGCTCAGCTGCTAATTTTCGCGTCGACCTTCGGGGATTGCGACGAATTCGATCCCGAACTCTTTTGATGTTGCGGGGGGTTACAGCAGTGCGTGGTCGACCAGATTTCGGTCTGTCATCTAGGTTCTGAGTCTCTTGAAACCACTTGACCGTTTTGGAGACCAGCTGCTTTGACACTCTGGACGAGGTAAATGACCGAACAATGTCACAATTCCGATGACCAACCTGATGGAGCTCAATTATGGCAGCTGTAATTGTTTTCATGCTAAAATACAAATTTACATTATCTCATTAGGACTTTTGGTGATAATTTGGTTTTCATAACACGTAAGCAGATACAAAAAACTAGAAATAGTGGCAGTAACACTTTATTTGACTTCATCAAAGCGCGTCAAAAACAGTCAACGAACTTTTTAACCACCCTGTAGAAACTTAAACCTGTATTATTCTTTCAGCATAAAATGTGTAATGATTGGTGATTTCAACATGGAGTTTCTATCAATGCATGAACTTGAAAACTTGTCATCATCTATAGTATAGGTTTTCACAAAGTCCTGGACACTGACACTAGATTCCAAAATGAGAAGGCCTGTGACAGATCTTCACTTCTGTGATCTTAGAGATGCACCATAGGTCCTACTACAGCAAGTATGATTCAATTAGCTGAAGATGCCATGTTTCATCACTATGAAACAAGGCATTTCGCAAAATTTGGTGCATTTGAAATCCTGAACCAACTATTACCACAGGTCAATTGATGCAACTTCTGTGAGTATATATATAATCAGCTACCCCTGGCCCTGAAAGGAATTCCTCGTCTGAAGAAGTTTAGAACATACTAATGGACCACTTTATTTTTTAATCAGATTTAATACATCTTCATTTTAAAAAATAATAAAAAATGAAATAAAAAACATTGACCCACTAATTCTCACTTAATGATAGTAAATGAACCCCAGCAGGCCTGGACAAGCCACTGGCTATTTGGCAAGCCCTTTAATTGAAGCAGCTCTGTTCCCTTATCCATTCATTTATTCTTCTATTCTCTCTTCTCCAAAACTCACCCACTGTCAGCATGTATTATTTGTTCTTACACTGCTTTTATTAATTTTTGTGCCTGTGTGCACATCATGATCATCAACTCATCCCTCTCCAAAGTTCAGAGTGTTTATTTTTCAATATCTTTCTTTATAAAACTTTAAGCTGCTCTTGTGCTCAAAATAAAATAGGCCCATTATGGAGCTATGTTTTACTTTTGTCTTTTTTTTCAATATTGTTACTCAGCCTGTTTTAACAGCAAATATGCCTTGACCCAAACTATCCATGAAGCATTGATGCATTTGGAGCAATGAAGTCATTACACATCTTGATTGAGCTGAAGTTTCACATCTGTCATTCCTTACCTTGATGTGGGTGCAGGCCTATTTCTGTCTTCTGCCTTCTCCCATCCATGATCAGGGTGGGAGTAGGGGAGAGGTGAATGTTCCCATTGCAATGTGACAGACCTGTTCATTTATTGCTGTTTGGAAACATTTGCCATTGCACATTCTCTCTTTTTTTTTCTTTAGCATGTTCTTTGGGCATCAGCATCGGCAGTTTGCCAACCTACCGATGGCCGATGGTGCCATACTAGTAACCTATACTGTTGGTTGCTGATGCATTGGTGTGGCTCTAATCATAATGTATAATGATATTTACAGTACAAACTGTTTTAGAATAATTCAAGTAACTTTATCTCACCTTGACTCATTAAAACCTTTAGGAAGTTTCAAGATGCCCTTCAGTTGCTCTGACAGATGCTAAATTTGTACACTCAGCATAGAGCTTTGTATTATTGGAGGAGCAGTAACCCTATCAAAGTGGGATCGCTACAGCTGAGGTTGATTGGGGTGTGCCCCTCATGATGTCCCACCCATGGACCAAGAGAATCTCATCCAACTAACTGAAGCTCTGAAATCAATATCTCCGTAGTAAGACTTCTCAAAGATATTCTGTGATGCTGGGTCATTACCACCCTTTGGTATCAATATTTCAGTCTCTGATGCTTGGAATGCTTTGATCTGCAAGCACAAGGCAATCTGAAGATAAGAATCTTCAGGATCCAGAAGCTCCCCTCTGTCTTTCATCCCTTATGAAGAATGATGTCTCAGAGAAGTGACCCTTGCTGAAGGATGATACCTTGAGTGAGATTTGGTCTCCTCAGTGCTAATCAATCATTTGCGGAACTCAACTATTTGTTTTTTATTTTATTTTTGTTGTTTTTTTCCTTCTAAAGAGCAAGAGAGAGAGAGAAACATGGGACAAGGATTATGATCCCCTTACTGCCAGGAGGTCATTTATGAATGGGCTGCCAGGAGCAACCAGGTACCTCCAAACACCTCTCCTGAAGACTGTGCTTCAGTGAGTTATTCTCTGAAATCAATCCTCAGGCTTCAAATGGTTGATCAATTTCATGCTGAAATCCCAATACCTCAGACAAAAACAGGAGAAAAATCCCATCCATTCTTAGTTATTCCCTTTGTCCCATTTAAGAATGCATGATGGAAATATTCCTCCCTATTTGGAATCCTTGCTGGATACATGACAGCAGACTCTTGCCGTCACTTTCAAAGCATTCATGTTTACAATATAGAGTTAAATCAAAGCCAATACATTCTATGCATGAAAAGGTGCAAGTCATCATCTACTAGCCAAAGTGTGAAGAAAGTTCATGTTTCAACTTGCATCTTCCTGTTTAGCATTTATATCTCTAATGATCTGCTTGTTTTTACTCTAGGTAGCAGACTTCAGAGCAATTAATAGAACATGAGTTGTTAATTGCTGCATGGCAAAGCTGATGTCAAACTGAGCTTGAATTATAATGTTGACTGGTGTGCTAGGTGTAAAATTTCCCATTAGAAATGGGCACGCTTGGGCTGTGATAACTGTGAACATCAGACATTCAGTTTTCCCTAAAAGAATATCAATAAATTTTTCCAAATTTTATGTTCAGCAATGTCACATCATGAAATTTAGTCATTTTTCTGTTATTTGGTTTAACAATTGTTTGTGATTTTCCTTTCACAGCAGCATCTGGAGTTATGAAGATTTTTTTTCATATTTTAACCATGTATTAATTTATTCAGGGTGGGGGAGTTTGATTGCTGTTGCCTGTTAATTTTCTGAATCAGCTAGTACCAGTTATATGCCATGTTAGGGAAGAACATTTAATGCAGCACAAATGAGACAAAAGTAGCAGTGACCATTTGGTAGGGAACGTTACATTCCTGGTATCTGTACTAGTGCTGACCCTGATGCACCTGCGAACTATGGAACCTCACTTTTATATTGGGTTGGAAAGAAAGTCTTGCAACACTGCGCAAATTTTTCAAAATTGTATAACTTCATTGAAATGCAATTTCAGTCTATGATGTAATGACCATTGTTGTCTATGACATGCTCCCAACGCACGGGTAACTGCTCGATGCCCTTTGCCCAGAACTCTGGCGATTGCGAAGCGAAGAAACGGCCGACATCATTTTCGAGCTGTGCTCGATCGTCGAAGGCCTTGTCCCGCAGGTGATTCTTGAGGGCCCGGAACGAGTGATGGTCGGAAGGGGCCAAGTCTAGAGAATACGCTGGATGGGGTAAAACTTCCCAGCCCAGTTCCGAAATTGTCTGGCGAGTCATCTTCGCAACATGTGGACGAGCGTTGTCATGCAGAGAGTCGCTGAGCCGATGTGGGACCCATGTCGAGTAAACCTTCCGATAGCCGAAGTCGTTCGGATGGTTGCCGATGGCCATATGGGTGGCTCCAAGTGTAGTCGCCGATTCGCGAGTGGTGGCGTTCGGCTTCGCGTCGAGGGCGTTCCGCAGGGCTTCGTCATCGACTGTAGATGGACGTCCTGAGCGTGGTCGATCTCCGAAGGTCGTGTCGCCAGATTCGAAGCGTTTGAACCATCGAGACACCGTGGAATAGTGGACGACGTTGCCCTTGAATGTAGCGCAGATGTCCGNAGAGTTCTGGGCAAAGGGCATCGAGCAGTTACCCGTGCGTTGGGAGCATGTCATAGACAACAATGGTCATTACATCATAGACTGAAATTGCATTTCAATGAAGTTATACAATTTTGAAAAATTTGCGCAGTGTTGCAAGACTTTCTTTCCTACCCAATACATGAATATAAAGGAATCTTCCTAATCATACAACTATTGCAGTAGCAAAAAAAAAAACAACAAAAAAGCGGTACTAGGTAAGCTGGACCTCACCCACGTAGTAGGAGTTGTGATAGCATTATATCTGTCCTTTTTATTCAGGAATATGCCTAATATGTCAGGAATATGCCTAATTAGGTACTCTTCATACCTTATGTAAAGTTCAGATTTCCATAGGCAAGAAAAAGGCTGATTTCCCGGTGCATGTCATACTGTCCCAGAAAAACAAAAGATACACCGCAGCAACAAAGGGACGGGGCAATGAAAATGCTCCAAGGTCCAAGAGGGTGTAATGGAACATCCGTTACACCTTCTTGGCAAAACACTTGACCTTGAGAAATGTAGCGACTTTCTAAGTCAAGTTTTCAGCCAGTTTTGATGAACTGCTGATTAAATCTGCTATAGGCCTTCCATAGACATGTATATACTATGCACTACTAGGTTCAAATAGTTTCGAGACCCAGGTCACTGTGACCGAACACTGTGTTGCATACCAAAAACAAAATTTGCTGAGCGTAGTTAAGGTTCCACACTACGTGCATATGAAGAGCACGTGTGCTGAACGTCACGTGACAATGACCGGGCTTCGCCACGTGCAACTCTTCAGCTGTCCGTCCGCGGTCTGACTTCATTGATGCCGCTGATGCAGATCCCACCTTGTTGAAGAGGATTGTAGCAGGTGATGAAGCAAAGTGTTTCCTATATGAACCACAGAAAAAACGACAGTCCTCCGTGTGGAAAGGCAATTGGTTTCCATGTCCCATGGTGATCCGCGAAGAATGCCCCAAGGGGAAGGTGATGTTGGAGGTGTTCTTCAACCACGAGGGCATTGTCCATCATGAGTTCATTCCTGAGGGAAGAACAGTGAATAAAGAGATGTACGTAGATGTGCTGCGGCGTCTTTGAGAAGCAATCCAGAGGAAACAGATGTGGCCAGACAAGAATTGGATCCTCTTCATGACAACGCATTAGAGCACAAATCGCTGATAGTGAGCCGTTACTTGACAGACATTGACACCGTCGTACTACAACATCCCACCTATTCCCTGGACCTTTCACCATGCGACGTTTACCTTATCCCAAGGATGAAGAAACGCCTGAAGGGACGCCGTGTTTCCTCCGCAGAAGAGGTGGAGGAAGCTACGGTGGCGGCACTAAATGGAGTTGCTTAAAATGGGTTCCAGTTCAGTTTCGAGGAACTTAAACGTTGGCAAAATTGTGTAGAAAGCCAGGGCCACTACTCTGCAGGTGACAGCAAAAATGCCATAACGCTCACCGTTCGCGTGCAATAAACCTGGACTCGAAACTTTTTGAGCCTACCTTGTGTAACTGCAGAGGATAATCAAAAGTAAAAAAAAAATCGACTTTTTCATATTTACTTCATTAAATACATGTATAGTATAATATATGCAGTAGAATTGAATATTTGCATTTTGTTTACGCGACGAGAAAAACCGACGCGTTCATTTTGATTTAAAAAGGCAAAACATGGGTTTTGTTATTCCCGCCTCACTTTTCCAGATGGAAAAAATGAGCTCACAAAAGAGCAGCGTGTCACAATTTTTTACTGCCATGAACAATTCTGATTCATATCGGAAATTCGCAATAGCAGTCGGATGTGGTCTTGCAGCCGTCTGTAATACGTTGAAACGAAATGTGGAAACCGGGTCCTCCAACTCCACGCCACGTTCAAGAAGACCATGCCGCATGGACACACACCGGTGGTGTCAACATTTCTAGCGAGAAATATTGAAACCACTTGAAACAAAAACAAAAAAAGACAGACTACTGAAACTTCCGCCAGCACCAAAATTCTCTTAGTTTTCGCTAATTCTGTCAGCGAATCAGAGCCATAAATGGATGAAGAAAATCTACATTCAATACTTTTATCTCAAGATACAGAAAAATCTATCAAATTCCGAAAAGGTTCACCGAATTTGGGATTCTTTTAGATCCCACAAACTCTGCCATCGTATAAATAAGTCAAACAATGACAGTAAAAAAAAGAGATTTAATACTTCTAACGCAAGATGCGGAAAGACAGCCTCTTGAATTTTTTGCCAAAACCAGGATTCCGGTGCAAGGCTCCGGTATCTCAATCGTTTATTCGGCATCTTGCGATAGAAGCGTTACATTTCGATTTTCTGCTGATTTGTTTCCTCTGATTCACATGATGAATTCATTCACATGTTGGCCGAATCTTAATGAATCAGTGATGGCGAAAGTGTTCGGATTCTCATTCATTTTTTATAGACATTATGATAGAAGTAATGTTATGTCGATTTGCTGCTTCCATGAGGCAATGATCAATATGAGGACAGAATGTGCGGAACCTAAAGGTTTCCGAGTCTGGGCGAACGTTTTCGGAGTCTCAATCGTTTCTCCCCATGTTCCAATATATGTATGAAATGTCGATTTTCTGAAGCTATTCTTCACACTGGTTCATATTATGCGAAATTAGCGGAATCTGAGAGAATCTTAGTGTTAAATAATGTTTCAGGATTTTTGCTCCTTTCTGCATCTTGCGATGAAAATATGAAATGTCAATTTTCTCATGACGTTATTGGTGCTGATTCATACAAGGATAACTTTGGAAAAACAAAATGGAATCCAAGTCTCTGATAGCGTTTTAGGACTGCCATTAACTTTTTGCAATATAACGATATCAACAAGAAATGTCGATTTTCAGCTACCATCATTTCTTATGATGAAAAAACTGGCGTAATCTAACTGAAAATTGGTGTTAGCGGTAGTTTTCAAAATATCGCCCATTTTTCCGCATCATGTACTAGATTCATGAAATAACGATATTCTGCTACAGTTTTTGGGTCTAATGCACATGATGACAAAAGTAGGCGGAATCTGAAGTTATCCTCATTTTTGCGAACGTTTTCTTAGTCTCACTACTTTATTCCGCATCTTACGGAAGAAACGTGATATGTCGATTTTCTCTTGATTTAGTTGAATCTGAACATATTGAAGGCGTTGAGAGCCTAATCTGGTGTCATTCGAATTTTGGCGAACGTTTCCTTAGTCTCAGTCTATTCTTCTGCATCTTGCGAAACAAACGCGAATCAACAATTTTCTGTTGCCGTTGTTGAATCTGATTCATTTGATGGCCCAGTTTCCGAAGTTTCACTAAATCCTCATTTTGGCGAACGTTTCTTTAGTCTCAGTACTTTTTTCCGCATCTTCCGATTCAGTTATGAAATGTCGATTTTCTGTTGCCGTTGTTGAATCTGATTCATATGATGGCCGAGTTTACGATGTTTAACTAAATCGGGATCTGGCGAACGTTTCCTTAGTCTCAGTCGATTCTTCTGCATCTTGCGGAACAAAGGCAAATCGACGATTTTCTGTTGCCGTGGTTGAATCTGATTCATAGTATGGCTGAGTTGGCGGAATCCGAAGTTATCCTCATTTTGGCGAACGTTTCCTTAGTCTCAGTACTTTTTTCCGCATCTTCCGATTCAGTTATGAAATGTCGATTTTCTGTTGCCGTTGTTGAATCTGATTCATATGATGGCCGAGTTTCCGAAGTTTCATTAAATCCTCATTTTGGCGAACGTTTCCTTAGTCTCAGTACTTTTTTCCGCATCTTACGAAAGAAACGGGATGTCGATTTTCTGTTTAGTTGAATCTGAACATATTGAGGGCGGTGAGTGCCTAATCTGGTGTCATTCGAATTTTGGCGAACGTTTCCTTAGTCTCAGTCGATTCTTCTGCATCTTGCAGAACAAACGCGAATCGACGATTTTCTGTTACCGTGGTTGAATCTGATTCATAGTGTGGCTGAGTTCGCGGAATCCAAAGTTATCCTCATTTTGGCGAACGTTTCCTTAGTCTCAGTACTTTTTTCCGCATCTTCCGATTCAGTTATGAAATGTCGA